AAGGTTGTAGAAGCAGTGAAATTCAACACAATATTTCAAGATCAAAGAAAGGAGAAAGAACCAGTCTGTGTCACACAGACTTGCTCTGCCAGCTGGTGTGACAGGTGGCACCTCGAGCCATTTGAAGAGCAAGTTGCTACTTGGGGCAGAGGAGCAACTCAGAGAATAAAGAGTTGACATTATGGAGAAAGGGAAAAAAGGTGAAGCATGACGTCTTGCTTAAATACGATGGGACTTATGATACAGTGATTCATTTTTACAACACAGTCTTCTGTCTGCTGGTCCGAAGCATGTATGAGAGATAAAATGGTGATATATAAAGAAGAAAAATAAGGGTTCATGATGTTAGTTCTGCAGAAATCAAAAAGGGAGGTTTTCGGCTAGAACTCATTAGGTTGATGGGTGGTGAGAGGCATTCTCAATTGTGAGGCATTGAATTCTCTGAGTGTGTGTGATTACAAAATAAGGGTAGACTAGGTAAAGTCTTGTGAACGAATCACTTGTTGTGAGTTTGTATTTTCCTAGGTAGTTAGGATTGTATGGCTTCTAAAAGCAATTTGTGTTCCAAATTGCGCATATGAATAAAGTGATATTCATGTGATTGATTCAAGTGTGTTGTTCTCTATGTTATTCAATTGGTCTGCTATATCTTTTTATTTGGTATTAGAGAGGATCACCAAACATAGGACCTCTTGCTGGTTCTAAACAGGTGAAGATAGCGTAAATGACCGAGAAACCTGATTGCAACGGTGTTGACCGTGTCATGTCTGAAGGTTCAAATATGGAAATCGAACATGAAATGGTAAACCATGTTGCTTTCATCACTACCACAGTAGACTGCAAGATTCAAGAAGAGTTGGATTCAGATGAAATTGGTGAACCAAAATCCTCTGAAGACTATCAAGGGTTATTTAACCTCTGGACTCAGCTAAGCAATGCGAAGATCAAATTAGCTCAAGAAAAAAGAAATTCTCATCTCTCTCAAGGAGAAACTGGAATTGTGTGTTCCTCAACCCATGCGTCCTGAGAAAGGGAAAGGTCATTCAAAACTTACAAAAGAACACAATGTCCATTTATTACACACTGAACCCCGCAAGGAGAGAGAAGATGCTAACCTTGGTAAAGCATGCCTAGCTGAGAAATACAAAACTACTAAGATGCTGAGTACCTGCGTGAACTAGCTGGACATCACTCAACCGAAAGATAATACCGATGATGAAACTAAACTCAATGTCCCTGTTGGACCTGCGTTGAGCAAATCTGTCATTCAACAGGGGATATCTACCCGTGAAACATTTAAGGTCAAATGGGAAAGAAATCAAATCAACAAAGGGGTGTTTAAAGGTTGTTTTCACTGTGGTAAAGTTGGACACATGTGGGACCACAGTGAAAACAACGCTTCAAACAAAAGAAGAGAATCCAATAGTTGTGGAATCTAAAAAAAATGTTGGATCTGTGTGGCTGCTTAAGAAGGATCTGTATCTTCATCAAATCACAGATTAAGACCAACATAAACTTAAGTATCTGAAGTTGAACTCCGTATATAATCATGGATGGGTTAGCATTGAAGCGCAAGGGAATAGGGAGTCTTTGGAAGCCAATGTTACCTACACGACAACCTCCTCTAGGGATGGTCAATCCTGGTACTTTGAGAACGGCTGTTCAAGACAGATGACTGGTGACAGGAGTGTTATACCCCTGCTAATACCTAGGCCGAAACAGACGGACCTACTCCTTCAAGTATGCAGCCGTAGTGAAACTAGACTTGGAAAGGACTAAGGAAAATGATCGGGATGGAAAATAGATGGTGGGCTGAGTTGGTTCGTGCCGCGGGTAACGGACGTATGGATTAATCGAGGAAGAACACCACCGGACGTCTGCGGGTAAGTCGGTTGAGCCAAACGGCTCCCATTGCTCCACGTCGTGGGTTGGTAGGACGAAGGGTGGTCATTGCTCCACGTCCTAGGTTGGTCAGGCGAGTGGATTGTAATGCACCACGTTGATAGGATTAATGATGCGTTTTTGATGGTACAACGTGGGCTTCTACGAGCCACTCCTTACCCATGACTGCCCCTATAAATAGGACCCGTACCCTTAGCTTTAAGCATTCACAAACTCCTTCCCCTTAGTACACATATTGTCTAAAATCAGTCCTAGTTCCCTTCGAGCATAAGCGGATCAGTCCGAGCAATTCTTAGTCTCAGGTTCGATCAAGTCCAGGCAGAAGGGCCAATTTTCCTAAGGAAAACCTCTGTTAAACTGTGAGTCTCGGTACAATGCGTTATGTTATGCTAGAATAGTATGAAATATCATTCTATAGTATAGTCATGATGTTCTCATCATTATGTTTGATTATATGCGGAACTTGGTTGTCGAATGTTGGCACTGTACTTGTGTGGTATCTGCCTACGTGAATGGTAGATACTTTGGGTGGTAAGTACTGTGTGATTGGCATGTCTCTGGTTAAAGTCATGTGTGGTAATAACTTATTAACCGCGGTCCTAAGTTTTCCGAAGAAGTCGTGCGGAGGTCACGCTGCGGTGGTATGTGGGTCGCACCCATAGGCCGTGATACACGATGGGGCTCAGTCGTGTATTGAGTTCATGTGGGTGTTCTGCAGAACTCGGGATGTTGAAAGACTATGTGTCTTACATTCCACTAATGCCGGAACATGGATTCGCAAGGCCTTAAATGAAGAGAATTCATGCATGCATATTGTTGATTGATGAATGCTTTCGTGTATTCATTCTTGAGTGTGATTGTTATTGGGGTTGGGATGGGAACGCTAAAACCGTTAGA